CCCCCCCGGCCAGGGCTGTAAAACCCAAGCCCTGCAGCAGCTTTGGGGCTGAGACCGAAGGGGTCCCAAGTGGGCTTGGCAGTTTTAAGCGTGGTTTGTTTATTTTCACCAAACGCCGGGGCACAAAAGGGGCTGCGGGTGGGGGGTGAACTGCTGTAAAAGTGGAGCAGGAAGAGCAGGAGGAGCCGTTGGTGCGACTTCTCTGGGTTCCTGCCTTTCTCAGGCACCAGGATGTCTTCTCTTTTCCTTTTCTGTCTGTTGTCTTGTTTTTTTTCCTTGCATTTCCGTTTGTGACTGTTGCTGGGGGCCAACACCTCCCTGCTTTGGGGGCATCACACACACCAGGGACCACCGAGCCCCCCCCAGTCCCTGCTGCCACCTGCACCCACTCGGCTACAGCTGCTCAAACCCCACCTGGGGGCTGGTGCTTGTGATCCCAGGTGATCCCATCCAGTCCCACCCCTCCCTCCCTCTCGTGCCAGACATTATCCCACTGCCAGCACTGCAGACAATCCCAGGAGCTGCAGGGAACCAGAGGTTGTGCAGGAGCTGCCAGCTTGGCCGGGGCAGAAGCCACAAGCAGAGCCTAAAAATTCAGTTTAAAAGACAAACAGTTCCCTTTTTCCCCCCTATTCCCCCCTCCCTCCAGTTTCCAAGTGTCCTATTCCCTCCACACTGTATTATAGAAAATAACTCTATTTTTGAATAATAAAAACACTGCCCATGATTTTCCCCTGTGAGTTTGGAACAGGAGCTGGTTTATTTCCATGAGCTGCTCTCTGTTCTGTCCAAGGCTTGTCCTGTAGTTGCAGCTGCTTCTGCTTTCTCCTAAGGCTGCATCTCTGCAGCTTCCTGGGTTATCCTGAAGCTGGCAGGTTGGACTGAATGTCTTGAACACATGAGGCTGTGGACTCTACTCTGGCCATTCCCTCTGGCCTCCACAAGATCTGATCCCTCCTGCCTCACTTTCTCCATCTGTGCTTACTCCCCTCCCTAAGGACAGCCTGATTGTGATGAAAATTGGAGCTTCAAAGAGGAAAAGGGTTGTACCTCCCAACAGTAAAGAGATGGAAAGGCTCTGGATTATCTGGATTCAAAGGAATCAAATAATGTGATGGTCAAACAAAAGTTTTTGGCTGTTGCTATGGGAACCATCACATCTTCTTGAAAAGACAATGAATGGCAACTTAATCCCCTCCTATCTGACAAGGGGGGAAATAACCTTTGTGGCAGGAGTTTCACAGCTGGTCATTACTGCTCTTCAATCCTTTTGGTCCCATGATCCTTGCTTGGCTGAGCAGAGGAACAGAAGTGGTGCCTGCTCACTCGGTGCTCCTGCACCACACGAGCATCACACTTGCCAGGTTCCCTGCAGTCCAGGGCAGCCACTCACACCCCACTTCCCCCCAGAGTTCAAGGATCATCTTTTCCAAGGTTTTTGTTTTGTACTTCTTTTTTCCCCTGGAAGGCACCACTTCAGAGGAAGGGTAACTCATGCAGGTCCTCACCACCCGCTGGCGAGCGAGACGCGCTGGTTCCTGCTGCCTGGGTCACACTTGGTGCTGCTGTGGGAGCAGGAGCTGGACTGGAATTCCTCTGGGTCACTCACATTTTTTTAATTTCTTCTCCTTCTTCCTTCCTCTCCAAACTGGTGCCGTGTTAGAGCTTATCCCAGGGAGCTGCACCCCAGCCTGACAACCCAGGTGTCAGACCAGCACCTGCCTTCACCCTGTGTCCCATCATCAAGATCCTGCAGCTCCAGCAACCTGCCCGGCTCTTTCACAGCCTGAAACAAGAGACGGGTTTTTTCTCTTTCCCCTCACAAACCCCCGTTTTCCCTGCTCCTTCAGCCGCGGCCGGGGGGGCAGGGGCTGGTGCCGAGGAGCAGCTCCCGCAGCCCCCGCTGACTCACGCTGCTGACTCACTGCTGGGAACCTGCCAGCGCTGCCCTCCCGCAGGGTAACGCTGCTGCCACTCGCATCGCTTAAATCGCTTAAAATCACCTGGTTTCACACGCTATTGATACGGTTCTTCAGCGTGGGTAGGATGTATTGTCAGGGAAGAACGACACGGCCTGCCTGGTGTGGGTGGTGGATTTTGGACCTTATTCAGGGGCTCCAGGGAAGCTGGGGAGGGGGTTTTCACCCGAGAGAGCAGTGACAGGACAAGGGGTGGTGGTTTTAAAGTGGAAGAGGGGAGGATTCAGGTTAGGTATCAGGAAGAAGCTCTTCCCCAGGAGGGTAGACAGGTGCTGGAATAGGTTGCCCAGGGAGGTTGTGGCCGCCGGGAGGTGTTGCCTGGTGTGTCCCACTGGTTCTCCGCCCTGCAGCGCCTCACGCTGCTCGTCACCCCTCCCCCCCGCACGGCTCA